ACTATGTGGTCAGTAAAATGTTGGACTTCCTGAGATTTAATTTTAACCCAGGTGCCGTCAACATACCTGAACCAATGACTTGGTGGTGTCCCTGAAAAGGACGTCAAGGCTCTCTTTTCTACCTCCTCCATGTACAGGTTGGCAACAATAGGAGAAACTGGAGACCCCATAGCACACCCATGTTTCTGCCTATAATATTGTTCCCCATATGTGAAGTAGGTTGACTGCAGGCACAGTTTCAAGAGTTGACACAGTTGTTCCGTGGAAAGCGTGGTCCTGCTGCTCGGAGTGGTGTCTGATTTTAATTTTAAACTGACCACCTCTACTGCATCATCAACAGGAATGCACGTAAAGAGTGATGTGAATCAAAAGAGACCATTGTTTCATCAGTCTCCATGATGACATCCCTCACCTTATCCACAAAGTCCATGGTGTTCTGTATGTGGTGTTCTGAGCTGCCAACTAAAGGGATGAGTACAGACGCCAGATATTTGGAAACATTGTAAGTGACAGAGTTAATCATACTAACAATTGGTCTTAAAGGTACACCTTGTTTGTGGATTTTAGGTAAACCATACAGACTAGGTGTGGCCTCCCCTGGGTACAGTCTGTGGTACAGAAAACGGTCAATAGCCTTGTCCTGCTCCAAAATTTTCAGGCAATCTATCAATTTCTTCTTGTAACCACTTCCTGGATCTCTTTTCAGAGGTTCATAAGTGTTTAAGTCACTAAGGAGTGTCATAACTTTCTTATGATAGTCTTTCTGGTTCAAAATCACTGTGCACCTTCCTTTGTCTGCTGGGAGAATGATGATGTTTTTGTCCTTGCTAAGAGTGGTGAGTGCGTCCCTCTCCTCTCTACTGATGTTGGAAGGTGGTGGTTTGGCATTGCTGAGGCAGGATGAAACTTTGATTCTGAGCTGTTCTGCTTCAGCCTCTTTAATGTTGTTGTTGCGGATTGCTGACTCAGTAGCTGTGATCATCTCCACCAGAGGAATTCTACTTGGTGCAACTGCAAAGTTCAGTCCCCTGGCAAGAATCTCTGTCTCTGGCTGGGTGAGCTGTCTGTCAGATAAATTCTTCACCCACTTTTCTGTCTCCCTGGCATGTAATTGACTACTGGAGTGTTGTCCTACACTGAATGTGTTGTTATTGGAATAGTGATGGTGTTGATGAGTTATTAGTAAGTTAAACTTATTTTGTTGTCGAGTCTTGGACTTGACATGCTGTGCTAAGCGTACCTGATCTGTACAGTCCATCACTTGCTGAAGTGTGGTCTGATCTAGACACATAGTTAGTTTCTGTTTAATGTGCTCTTCTTTGGCCTTCAAGGCATCAATATTAAAATTGGTCTGTCTCACCCGTTCATTCAGCAGCTGGGTCTGTGCCTTCTGAAGGATCTTGCTTGCCCGGTACCCGCTGACTGAAGATTTTAGTTCCAGGCTCTTGGGAATGATGCCACTTTGTCGACATCTGAGGTTGAATTGCAAATGGTTCCTGTAGTCTGCCCTCTTCCTTGCTGTTCTCTCAAACTCTCTAACTAGTTTGAGGCAATCCTGGCCAAAGTGATTCAAAATATCCTGATGCATGCTCAATAATCCAGGTAGAAAAATCTAAAAAAGTTAAATCTGGTCCTCTGGACATTCAAAAAACCAAAACAAAGCAAAACAACAAAAAATGTAGAAATGTTTCGTCTCTCATCCGAGAGACTTCCTCAGTCTGAGGAGCTGTATTCAGCTCAGTCTCTTAAATAGCACCTTCTCAGAGTGGATCAACCAGTCCTGCTGCTGACAACCAAAACCAGCTGATCACATGCTCAAGAAGGACCATCAGCCTAACAATGGATCATTAGCACACTGATGGCTGTTTACTGTTCACAGAGGGCTGAGTGACACTAGCAATCACAGCATTGTAAGAGGGGGACGATGAACAAGGGACTACTGTATTTTCATATCTGACCGAAATCACTGTCATGTGGTACAAAATCGGATATTATTCAGTGTTTTTCAAAGCGATCTGAGTCTGAACAGTCATGTTGCATTTAGTGGGACATTCATATCATTAATGTAGGGGTATGCAGATCAATTGAAATATTGATATTATCAATACCAATGTTGTGCAGTGTAAAGATTAGAAAGAATTAGAAAGAATAGTGTAAAGAATTGCAACTCTGTGCCGGGGTAGGCGGGAAGCAACACAATCAAAATGCATGTGTAGTATCCATATTTACGTAAAAAAAACTACTGCGTGTGACGTTACATCTATTTCTACGCATGTGGGTCACTTCAGGACCACAGACTGTACACACTGGAGTCTGATGAGTCACATTTAAATTTTTATGTGAACTAATATGACAAAAAAAAGTCTGAATGAGCATTAAGACCTGCTGTGTGAATGTAGCCTAAAGGTCTAACAAAGTTAAGTCAGGTCTTCTGGACGGCTGCAAAAAATAAAATTTGTTGAAACGTTTCGTCTTTAATCCAAAATGCTTTGTCAGCCTGAGGAGCTGTAATAAACTCAGTTTTATAAACAGCACCTTCCCATAGTGGATCAACCAGTTTGTTGTTGACATCCAGAACTAGCTGTTCACATGATGGAGGACCATCACTTGCTATTCACACGGGGCTGAGTGATACTAGCAATAACAGCATTGTAAGAGGGGGACAGTTGAACCCGGAGGCCTCCACCCCTGTTTAACGATGGACGGTTTCTTTTCACAAAGATGGCCTCCTTTACTCCTCTCTCAAACCATCGTTCCTCTCTGTCCAGGATGTGAACATCTTCATCCCTGAAAGAGTGACCGCTGGCCTGGAGATGAGTGTAGACCGCAGAGTCCTGGCCTGATGATGTTGCTCTTCTGTGCTGGGCCATCCTTTTAGCCGGTGGCTGTTTAGTTTCCCCGATGTAAGATTGATCTCCTGGCACTGAACAACATACACAATATTACTCTGTGCTGGGGGACTGGATCTTTTTTTGCATCCGTCCAGAGGACCTGACTTAACTTTGTTAGATTTTTCTACTTGGATTATTGAGCATGTGTCAGGGTAGACATTCACCTGCGTTCTAACTCTTTCACAAAGTAAAAACAAAGGGTGTGCTTTTCGTTCTTCTCATTTTTATAAAAATGCAGTCTCACTGGTAGCATGTCATCATAAGGACTATAAACGAGTAACAAAGTCTTTGTAGCTTAAGTTTTCGGTTTCACTGAAACTGAAACAAACAATAACTAACGACAGCTGGAGATTTGTTCTGGGTTTGTTTGTAGGTGAATGTTTTGGCTGCTTTCTTTCAGCAACTTGGCACTTTCATTATGAGGCAACATTTCACAGTTTGTGAACAGACTGGTGTTTTTAAAAGCACTAATTAATACGAACGAGATCATTTTCAGGAATAGTAATAATTGAAACCATCCTCCTTTCTTTGCTGTAAGGTGGTTAGCACTCGTGTAGGTGGCATTCCTGAGGTGTTGCCTGAGGACTTGATCACCCTGTGTGAACCTAATGTCCGATCGTTGTGTGACGGTTTGGAAAAAGTCATCGCCAAGCAGCGCTCTGGCTCTGTCCCTTCCCCCACCTTCATCCACGGGAGCGTGAGAAACCTCTACACCTGGAGAAATGTTGCAGAGAGGACTGAAAAGGTATGAAAAATGTCTTGTTGTCCAGTTTGCAGAATCTATCAGGAGAAATTAAATCAAACATAGTCAATATTTGCTTTTAAGTAATTTTTACTTTCCAGATTTTTTATTGAAAGTATATTATTTTATACCATTACTGATTCAGACAGTTCCAGTTATTGTTCTCTGAGATGATTATCTCTTCTGACCTGCTTACTCTCATGCTGAAGATCAGGTTTCAAAAACAGACTCGCATGATAAAAAACACCATGTTTAGTCTCAACCAGAGCCCTGTAAAGAGAGAGTTGCGACACTCTTTGAACTCGCCGATACGCGGTCACGTGGTTCATGCAGCTCCCAATAGTTCCAAACAGCTCATCGCTGTCAGTCAGTTTGAGCGGCTGCTGGCGGGACATAACGTAAAAATCAACTTTTCTTACTTTGCCGGGCGACTTTTGGTAATTATTGATCAATAATGAACTGATTACTAAACTGATTGTTGATTACTTGACTGTCTGTGCATTTTATCAAAACATTTTTAGACGCTGCAGGGACATTTATCATTAAATTTTAGAGGGAAACGAGACTGCAAACATGACATTGAACACAAATTGCAGACCATTATTTGTTAGGAAAAAATGTTTATGCAATATCAATATACCCATGTCAACAATGTTTTCTATACACGTAAAAAAAAACCAGAAGTAACACAAACAATTATATAAATATATAAATAACTTTAAAGCTATTTCTGATGTTCTCTGCAAGCCAGCATGAAAATGCTCCACCTTGTCCTCCATGCCAGCAGTTCAGCTCTGCTCCAGCTTACTTTAGATCTGGGATGAACATTTCTGTAGAAGATAATTGTTCTATTTTTCTTTTTTTATGGCAACCGAGTACCTGGATCTATACAAGAGTTGATTTTGCTTGTAGTCAGACAACTATTGTAAAATTGTAATTAATTGATTAAAATGTTAAATGAAACTGTTTCTAGTTAAAATCACAACAGATGACAAAATAAGTGTTAATTGTGCAAAAATAAATGACCAAACAATTTATTATAAAATATGTAAAATGTAAAGCGAGCTTTAATAAAGTACTTTTATTTGTACTGTTTATTAATTACATCTGCACCAGTAAACTGTATCTGATCAAGTTTGGGCAAAGTTGAAATCTGCACAAGTTCTAATGAGGGTCCATCCTCCGTCACCATTCACAGCAGCTAGGTTTATTGGGTTACCATGGTTGGCTGTGCTGCATTTGGATGCACCAATCGGTCCGAGAAAGGGATCAGTATGTATGGCTTCCCAAGAGACACTGAAAGAAGAAAAAAATGGTTGGCTCAAGTCAGCAGGACCAACCTCACCATCACCA